TTTGCAACAACAGGAAGGATAGTATTGACACATATTCTTGGTGTTGGTATATACACCACGTTTGTACCGGCCGTGAAAGCAAATAGTTGGTCGCTTTTTCTCAGTCGAAAGCCATATCTCGACATTCTTATGCATTGTGCAGAGAGTGAGAGCGTTTTTCTTCTCCTTTGGTTAATATTTCACTAGAAACTACCAATTAGAATGACTCCAGACATACACACTCTGAAACTGACCCAGTTACAGCGACAAACTCACCTCTGGTAACCCTATGCACGTGAACCGCAACGTCTCGAATAATGCCGTACCGTGTTCGTAGCTGAGTAGTAGTGAAAACCTTGTCGATTTTCCGATCGCAGGTTTACAAACCAACCACCATTCGTTAAATACAAAACATGGCCTTCGTCCGAAGATTTAACACAGATCGAGTCCTTCTGAAATGCGCTTACATGATTGAAACAATACGCTTCAGTTCGTGCATCGATTACGACATTTCTGAGTTTTGTTGCATTAGCATTGTGTCATTATAAAATCGGTTGAAAACTTCCGTCCATAGTGAGCATATTTTTAGCACACGCCTTCCGAAGACCTAGAAGAAAACCAAAGACATTTTTTTCTAAATGTTCTGCATATGTGTATTTGGTTCCTTCATTATCCAGTTGTAACCGGTTTTCGCTATTATAACTGACAGTATTAGGCTACTCACGAAACGAAATTACATTAGCATTCTCGTTTGCATCTTTTGCCTAATACTTTGACGTGTCAGCAGTATGTTTTATTGTCCGGTTACAAACCACAAAAACAAAATCATCATCATACTTGCTTGGCCTCTGTGTGGCCTTTACCTTACTCACACTTATTTTGTGATCCAACCCTGTATAAAAATTGCATAAGTTTGTTGTGGGCACCATGCTGAGATACAGCGGGATCTTCCGGGACACCATTGGTGCAACATTGTTGTACTGGCTTCTCATCACCAATTCTCAGATGACTCATCAACTCAAAAATACCTAATTGCCATCCCCCCCCACACACACTCTGGTTGTGCCTTCATGCATGCATGCACGTGCTGTGTTGCATTTCACATGGTGTATAGCATGCTCTTTTTCCCATGCCAGCAAATCTAACGCGATCAATAGGTGTCTTGGCCAATCTGGACATCTACCTTCAACTCTCACTTTAAATCTGGTTGTTAGTTGGGGGAGTTGAGAGACGGATCAGGTGGTACGAATCGTTATCAATGTCCAGCAGGACACCTTCTTCAACTTTCTGTCCTCTAAAACAAGCTGTATGTACCTCAGGGTGAACCGCCCGGTGCGGTTCAGTGAAGGTGGAGGAGAAGTACGAAATGTACAGTCAGAAAAGGTCAAGAAATTTCGTCAAACTCCTATGGATCTTGATATTCCATTGGTAAAGTGTGTAGAAACTTATTTTGGACAAACATGAATAGGCAAGAAACGGAGTTTTATTAACACTTCAAGTGAAGAAGTTTTTTCTTGTACCGAATAAAGTGGCGAGACAGTTGAATACAGTAGATTTGCACCGTTTCATTTCATTTCAGTTCTTACAACCATTAACCATGCATCGTTTACCTAAAGCTGTAGAGAAATCATGGACTAATGCTTATGTAAGAGGGTGACAGGAATTAAATAGTATTTTAGGGGGCAGTTTATGAAGTTGTTGGCACAACAGATGTGCTGGTGTCCCGACCTAGATGACGACATTGGTCGAACCACTAAGAATTGCGAAGATTGCCTACACAAGCAGAAGTGAAAGCCGAAGAATTGGGCCCCATGGCCAGAAAGCTGTGTTCCTTGGCAAAGCGTGCACGCCGACTTCTGTAAACCGCTCCTCGGTCATTATCATGCACTAGTACTCATCCATTCGTACTCAACGTGGCCGGATGTGTTTCTAAGCAGTACACCAACTACTTCGTTTGTGGTTCGGATTCTAAGAAAGTGTTTCAGTCGAGAGGGTGTTCCTCAAGTGTTGGTGACTGACAATGGGTAGCGATTTTGCGCTTCGGAGTTGAAGATGTGGCTGGACAGTATTGGTTGCCGACATCTGCGCACAGCATCACGTCATCCCTGCTCCAACGGCGCAGCGGAAAATTTGGTGAAAACGGTGAAGAGTGCCATTTCCTCTGTAAGCCCAAAGGCAATTTCAGAGTTGGAAATACTCCTGGACAACTTATTGTAACACCGAAATGCTGCACATGCTACCACCAAAGAGAGTCCAGGGAAACTGTTCAAGGCGTGAAGTTTACGGTCCTCAATACAATGCGTGGATTCGAGTGACGTCATGCACTTCGGACGAAACCATTTGAGACCATCAAAGGGAATCCCTACCCGAAAGACTGGCCAAGCTATGGTGGAGATCACAGACCTGACAGACGCGTAGTTCGTCAATGCCACGCCGATGAAATTCATTTCAAAGAGACTCCTACTACGGTTGAGGACCATACAGAAGAGATACAAGAAAGCCCGCTCAGTGATAGGCCGTTACCAGGTACAGAAGATCGAAAGCTACAGCTCCTTTATCCGGGAATATATACAGATGAGAATACCCCACTGGTCCCTCGACGATCAAGCAGAAGAGCAAGCCAAATCGACGAGGCTCTTTTGAGGGAGGAGAGTTGTGGTGATCCCAGTCTGCGAGATGACGCATACCCTGGATCAACACGTTTTCAGACAACTAGAATGAATCAAGCTTCCCAGGTGACGTCAGCAACGAGAGTACATGTCACAGCTTTTGGACTATAAACCATAGGTCCATTGTACCAGTTAATCAGAAACCGTGCGGCTCAGACAGTAGATGAACAACGTCGGAAATACTAGCACACGTTTGGCAGAGGATTGGGTGACCAATGAGGTTGTTTTGCACAATTATTAAGTCCCATAGTTTTTTTCAATAAACGAACTGCTATTCTGGTGGCCTTTTCCTCGTGCAAGTACCAGTGTGATCCAGTGCTTACGACCCCTTCGTGATTGCTAACCCGTGATTCGTACTTCGTGATTTATGTTTCGTGTTCAGTGCTACTATTACTAAAATTACCACAGTTTATCACAAGCTTTGGTATGATGAAAGATAATTCAATGGATTATGTGAATTCCGGGTAAGCAACAATACATGCCCAAAGTTAGGGTGATGTGCATATTGCATAGATATTCCTTGGTTATAAACCAGGAAATATCGCTGGGGAAGCATAAAGCCAATGTGGTAAAATGTGTGCACATGTGAATTGTTTTATCAGATGGGAGGGAATAGAAAAGAGCCTTAGAAGTAGGACAAAGACGAAAGTATTTTGACATTTGTATAAAAAACCTTGTTGTTATGCTCATACCAAGTTAAAAATAACACTGCAATAAGAATCTACTGTACGAAACGGCGAAGGTGGGAATGATCAAAAACTTGTCAATCAATTAGTATCTGTTGGGGAACCGTAATCATTCTTTCGATCCTGAGCCTCGTATTATATCCATGGCTGCCAAACGATGCATAACAAACAAATCAGATTGCTTTGACATTTTTCACCCAGGGGCCGTTTGCATGCGTTGCTCCTACTCATGACCCTGTAAAACGGATGCATTTTCCCCATACGGAAACATTGTAAATTGAGGTATCCAAACTGTTTCACATGCCTGCAAGGATTTGATCACATCTTCCGTATAATAGAGGCAAATTTGTGTTTCGCTTCAAATAACCTCAACAAAATGAATCTTCAGTTACAATGTTCTTTCCACGGGATGTGTAGACGGTCTAAAAACCTCCATGCATATCAGTGAACTGAAATGCGATCCGACTACGCGATTCCTGTTTGAATAAATCAGATGTCACCGTTTCTTAGTTAGGAGCATATATTACTTCAAGCAATATCTGAGTATCACACACTTTGGGTAGTCGAATAATTTTCTCACAGAATGCTTGTAACCGATTTTGGAGGTTATTATACACCAACAACGAACAATAATCAGTCTACAGATGAACTGCCCCACAAAATACACTCACATTAACAACATGATACCGATCATCAAGGCAACAGCCCCTGACCTGACTCACGGAATCTCTGAAACTGTAGTGCTGGTTTGCAAGACTAACTGGCTCAATGACTAGCAGGGATATGATGTCAAGTCACATATCTGTTACTGTGTTTACCCACAACACCCTAATTCGATTCTTATATAGTCTCCCGGTCCAGGTGGGTGGGATAAGAAGGGCATCAATCCACTTTGTGGGATAACTCTTTTGTCTATATTGCTTCATTTTAAGAGATAAATCATCCCCTTTTGATATGGGCAACCGGGCGGTATTCCGCTTACGAGCAAAATATAAACCGACTTCTGACGATTAAGGTTTTTTACTGTTTTACTTGATCTACAATCTAGAATCATACGAGTATAAAATTTAATAATAATAATGCACTACGACTATCCTTTCCAGTTTCACTTTGGACAACCAATAACCCTACATGTTGCTGAGCAGTGCTACCCCTAGCATTCTTGTTCTGTCCAGACATAAAGCGTTGCATCAGTATCCACTCTAAGTTCCCAAGCACCACGTGCACACATTTTTTCTCCAATTCGTTGTCATCATTATTAGTTACTTCCAAGTGAATAGTACGACTGCTTCATGGTTACCATAAAAGGGGTATTTAAATAGACATGCATTTGGGGCATTTTTTATCCACGTGCCTTACAGTCACCTTCGTCAAAAGGTACTGAGAGAGAAAAAGCACGTCGGGTTTTCGTTGTTGTTGGGGGTTGGTGATGGCGATGGTGGTGGTTTTACTGTGACCTCTCAGGGAATGGTTGTTTTGTATGAAAATCATGAAGGTTTTGGAAAACAGACAAGTAGTAGTACCCGTCAAAAATTAGTTGAACAAATATACACATAGACGTTGTTTTAAACATTTCCCTCGGGCGAATTAAATTGGGAGACACAATCAGATTCACTTGGACTGTTGGCCATATCCAATCACATGAATTGATAACCGGATGAAGTCTCTAGTACATGTCCGGAGGGCAAAACGCTTTGACATTGAAATAAGGATATTGCATATCCAATCGAGCCATACACCTTTTCAAAGTGACCATTGTACGGGCTGATATGGTCACCGGGAGTACACGATTTCCTTTATAGTAGATCGGCTTCTGACCCCGTGGTGGTTTGTGTAGGCAAATGTTGCATTGACTAGCACGTGCAATCGCTTCGACGCGTCTGTCGAAAAACGGTCTCTGATACGCTTCTGTGTCGTGAATATAGAATGTGTACTCGATCCGGGACAGGCAAGGCGGTTTATCGGGTCTATCCGTGTCCGCACTGGAGTGCTGAGACACGGATCCGGATCGCCTGGGTTTTGAAGGCGAACTGGGAACAGAATATGTTTGAGGAGTTTGGACTCTATAGTCTCTTGTCGACGTTGTTCTTGGCAATGAATTAGCTCGACCAGTTGAACTTCTTTGCGAGCACGGAGTTGCGGGATGCGACTGTGCACCTCTTGTTGGACTTGCTAGGTTTCGGTTTGCGGTACTTGGTCGGATGGCAAAGTTGGAATTTGCTATTATCATGGTGCTCGCTTTGGATAAGCTGATTTTCGGAGGAGGTGTGGGCGGTTTCTCAGACAAACGAGATTTGGCCGCATACCGAACAGGTTTACTATCCTTAGAGGATGCATTTCTAGGAATGGGATCTTCTTGAGTATCACCCGTTGGCAGGTCTTGGGAACAAGTCGAAAAATCTTCACGGCTTCTGGCGGCGAATTTATCATGATCTGATTGATTCAAAAATGTAGCCGATCTTGTCACCAAATCTTCTGTTACCCTGGCTGTTCCTCGAGGGGAATCATTTAAGCCATATGCGGAACTTGCAAACGCAGTGTCACCTTGCTGAAATTTAGTTTTATCGGTAATTTGACCATTTGACCGTGATTTGCGTGATGGAGATACTTTGCTAGTCACACTTTTAGATATGTTTCGTGCATCTTTTTTTATCACTGCTGTAGGCGCTTTTGTCAATGATTTTGTAATGATAACGGATTGATGTCGTGTTACGGGTTTGGGTATTGTTTGCTCATTTGATGTGCCCGTTTTCCTTGTTCGTGGTAAATTCGACTGGAGTTCATCCACGGGATCATTTATTGATTGCGTTCTGATTTTCACTGTTGGTCTAGTGTTTGATTCTTGATTGTCGACAACGGAGTTGTCTCGACATAAGGAACTAGGTTGAGCAGGATTAGGAACACTTGCAGATAATCCACTGAAATATGAATCTGCATCGTCCGACGGAGGGAAATTCTCCCAATCCAAAAGGCGTCTAGTCCAAGCTGACGCCACTCGGTAATCGTGTCTTCGTAATCTTGCAGATCGGTGCCGTTTGTCTGGAGAATTTTTTGATAAAAACTTGGTTTGAGATCCTCCCATTCAGACGAAGAAAAAGATTTAGAGGTGTAAATTTGATGCCGGAATATGGGTAATTGAAAATTACATAATAGTCTCTTATCTTGTGATGGTCCGTTTTAATCTCCCAAGTCGCGATGGACGGTCGTTTGGACCCACGTTTGACCAACTGCTCTTAGTCGGTCTTTTCTAATTGATCATGTACTCATTCAAATAGCAATCGACTTTTTAATGTGCATGCCGCTTGTGACAAGTGTCACGTGATACTGTGGATTAAAACGGTTGCAGCTTCTTTCCACGTGTGAGGAAAAACATCATGGAAATTACGTTTGTTCTAAACAAACAGAAACAGTTCAAACAGTACTTCCAATTTATACACAGACAACTCACTTTCTTTTTTCATCGTCTGAGTTACTCAAATGCAGCTCTGATAGAAAAAGTAAGATTGAAAGAGCATTCGAAATAACGAAAATCACGCATGTTTGCTCACATCGTCGGTGTGTATTTCATGTATTAAAATCTTAATCATGTTTTCGGGTTCATTTGCTTAGGATCTATGCAAGCAGCTATACTAAATCTGTTGTATTTCGGTTGGATCGGTCAGAAAACGCCTACAAAAGACCGACTGAAAAAGGGTAAATAGATCACAATTTTATAAAGATGAAGAATTGAAAAGAAAGTTCTGCCATTGAACTTACTTATTATTAAGTCTCATTCGACAAAGCACAATGACCGATATGCAGCACAAACAATCTGAATGGGTCACGTTAATTGCGTCAGACATATAATCACTGATCCATTTGTATATTAATAATAATCGTGGTTACATTGGCATCTTGGGCGGTCAATTGAATTTCCTGTTGTCAAAGGTAACTTAATCGGAATCAGAAGTTGGAAAGTAATTTACTTTGGTTTCTCAGGTTTATGAACAGAATCAGGCATTGATCATAAAACATAGAAGAAAAATTCATTTTCTATAAAGAAATCATCAAGCACATTCAATGTGCATGACAGTTTTCCGTCCCATCCGTGAATCAATATTCTAAAATATAAAAGGCCGGGTACATCATTGATCTGCAGGATGCCTGTAGCACTTATGGGTTTGCCCACCCAGAGAATCTTTTGTGGAATGACGATTTGCATGACATTATGAGGTAAACAGTTGAGGAATTTATGTTGTCTAGCCAAAGTTTCACTGTGATTAATGCAAAAGTGCTTTATAGTGGAGAAAGACAACGGTTGGCGAATGCGTCTGGAGAAATGTCTACTCTGTATGGTCGCACTAAATTTCTCCATTGGCTAAAATAAATCGGTAGCCATGGTGCATCCCTTAAAAACATATTACGACGATAAACTTTATCAATGGGATTCATTCTCAGTGTTACGACCAACAATGAAAATGAAAGGAACGTTGCACAAACAGATACAGCAATGGTTCTGGTACAAAATGTTACTCAAATGGTGGTGATTCCTTTTGTTTGAGATCAGTATAACGGATATGTATTTCTCAGTGCAAATCCGGTATTCCAGAAGAAATGAATGCGTCCTGTGGTCAAAAGGTGTAATATTTGCAAAAAGCAATCAGAGTAAAACAGTGTCAACTGGTACTGCAAACCAGGAGAATGGCACAAAGTCAGGTAGAACCAAGACAAACTATGAACACAGCTAATTCTATTCGGAAAATCACGCAAATGAGCATCATTACCATCAAACAATCATTGGTCCATTCTTCGATGTCCAATTGCAATAATTGTAGTAAGGACTGATCATGAAGTACGAATCACGAGTTAGAAATCACGGACGAGACGTAAGCACTGAATCACACTGGTACTTGCACGACAGTATCCCATGGAACCGAGACGCGAGAAAAAGACCACAGGAATAGCAGTTCATTTATTGAAAGAAATCAGGGGGTCCAAATAATATGTACAAAACAAATTCATCGGTCATCCAAGCCTCTACCAATCGTGTGCTAGTAGTTCTGGCGTTGTTCAGCTTCTGTCTGGGCCGCGCGGTTTCTGAATGGTCGGAATAATCGACCTATGGTTTGTAGTCCAAAAGCTGTGACACGCACGTGCTTTACTGAAGTCACCCGTGAAGCTTGATTGATCAGTTATCCGAAAACTGTAACGTGTCAACCCGTGGTATGCGTCCTCTCGTAGGCCACGATCAACACACCAATGATATGGTGTAGTATTGAGAATAGTATTCGAAATGGAGCTCCAGAGTTCGTGCAATACCAATCCCCGAAATAAAAAAATCCTCGGATCGGATAGCAAAAGTACTTTATTCGAATCGTATACTATGCATATTCAGTGCATTCAAAGTGTACAAAAAATTTTCGAGGTTGGTATCACACATCACATATTGTTTGCTTGATCACTTTCTTGTATCTAGTCGACCCGACTGATCCTACTTGAAACCTCAAAATTGATCTGAATTGCCTAACTGAAAGCTGTGTGCGCACTCATTACATCATCAGTAGATGCTATTGTAAGGTAATCTGTATCCAGTTCTACCCAAACATATTAACAGTAAGTTAAATTTATTCTTTCTCTTCGACCATTCTTCAGGGGAGAACAAAGTGTATTAGTCGTAGTAGTTGTGGTACGCACTGATCATGAAATGCGAATCACGTATTAGAAATCACGGACGTCAGGGAAGCACACTGGTACTGGTACGACGGTATCCCATGGAACCGAGACGCGAGGAAAAGACCATAGGAATAGCAGTTCATTTATTGAAAGAAATCAGGGGGTCTAAATAATAGGTACAAACAGTGCATTGGTCCTTCAAGCCTCTGCCAATCGCGCGCTAGTATTTCTGGCGTTGTACAGCTTCTGTGTGAGTAGGTAGAAGGGAACAAGCGAGGGTAGATGTCAAAAGCCTCAATATGGTCAGGGGGTGTCTAGGTTTGCGGCTGGTTACCCCTCCCTTGCACCACATAAAATGCTTTCATACGACCAAACGCCTTAAAAAGCTCCTGTTGAGGAAGCTCTACTCACAGCCTTCTCTTGGCGGAGGTGTTTCCACCAAAGTGAGAGGTCGAAAAGCCGATGTCCGGGTTGGTGGACCACTGTTAGTTCACCGAGGGGAGTTGGTCAAAAACCCTGATTACAAACCAACCATGAGGTGTACGAACTACACACACAACTTCCTGGGTGTGGCATTGGTCAACGGCTTGATTGGGCACCTTGGACGTTTGACCCCGAACAAGGGGTGTATGATCCGATGAAACCAGCCCCAATGGATTGCGGCTTTTACATACCGCCCCACTGCCTCGCGGATCAAACTTTGGCTAGCCAAAGGCTCCGGTTGTGGATTCCTCAAGAAAATTCACCTGCCTTGACCTGGGCAATTTGACAGTATCCCGCTCACATGCAAATAATGGAACATCTTTCTTTTTTACCAAGATTATTGTACCATGATTTCTTTGGCACAGTCTGGATAAATATATCCCTCCTACCTCACCAGTTTCGTTTTATAGCAGAACTCAGACAGCAACGACGCAGCTCAAAACTCATCTCTTCCTCACCAAGTTAAACTTGACCTACTGCTTCGAGTACAACTGCACATACCAACCAAGCAAGTGGTTCGAGACTGAGTTTTCCACAAACGTCTCGTTCCCTATTAGGTCGACCCGAGACAGAAAGGGAACAACCTCAAGGGAGCACTGTAATAAGTGTCGAGACCGACTGCCCCACAAAGGATTAAATTAAATATTGTTCGTAGAATATTCCCATAAACAATGTAGAAAACGGTACTTCCGTAGAAATCTCTCCTCGATATATGGTATCAGGCGAATATATATTTACCAACGGCTTGAAGACAAGCATGGTGCCAACGCAAAAACAATAACAATAAAACGGGATAGGTGGATTGGGACGCAGAACATAGTGAACAGGGGGGGGGGGTGAAACAGTTAAACATGGGAAAATGCAGGATAACAGACTTTTTTGTGTGTTTCACCCTACACCTTTTGCAATTTTTTTTTACTGGCACGGGATTTCCACAGACAGACCGTACAGCATTCACGCCATTGACTTCTATTC